ATGGGACTGAGCTCGGAGGGTCCCCAGAACTCTAAGAGGCTTTTGAGGGGGTCTGACGGCGTCTTGGATCCAGGGGAGCTGAGCTCAGCCCTGGGCACTGATTAGCCAAACAGAGGGAGGGTTTAACAGGGATAATCGCATATGGAGCATGGCATTAGAGGCTGGCTTTAGACCTCCCCCCAAAGGAGGGAGAGCGCTGTGGGTCAGGATTGCTGCTCCACCGCCGGGAATGTCGAGTCTAGGCTTAGCTTAGCTTAGCGCGCAGAGGTCTGAAAACGAGAAGTTGCGGTTACTCAGACCACCAGGGTACAGTCTTGTTTTACTTGTTTTATCATGAATTAATCATGCTTAGAGGAAGAATAAAATGTTGAGAAATTAATCCAGGTGGACCTTAAAAAAGTTATCAGGGAAAATATGTTGTATTAACCATAATTTAACCTCAAATTCAAAAGTAAAATAAACGAAGCAGTATGGTGTATTATGTAGAAAGTAATTTTTGGGACATTTTCAGCATATTTCGGACACAACCCACTCCCTTAAAAATACAGACATTATTTAAAATGTAATAATAATAAATTGTAATATCTGTAATATACTGGACAACAGTATACATTTACTTAAATTTATATTTAGTTAAGTTGAAAATAAATATTCTTCAATATTATTGTATAATAAATAATATATACATATACTTAGGTATATGAATATATCCACTACCACCCAAAATTTGGAATCATTACAATTTTTTAAATAAAAATAAATAAATAAATAACAATTAAATTTGTATGCTAAACAAAGCAGCATTTACAGTATTTGATAAAAAATACAGTAAAACGGTATATATTGTGAAAAAGTTGCAATTTAGAAGAACTGTTTTCTGTTTTAATATATATTTATATTGTAAATATTAATATATTTAATAAAAAATTAAGTATTTTATATATTAAATATTTTAAAATGCTATTTATTTCTGTGATCAAAGCTGAATTTTCAGTATAATTGCTCAACTCTTCAGTGGCACATGATCCTTAAGAAATCATTTTAATATGCTGATTTGGTACTTAAGAAATATTTATTGTTATTATTATTTAATATGACTATTTTTTATTACTAGATATTATCATTATCATATTATTTATATTAATTATTGTTATTACTTATTATTTTTGTGGATATATAATATAGT